TATGAAAAATTTATATTTTGTATAAGAACAATACAAGGAAAAGAAATTGTCATAATTTGGAAATCAATATTAAAGGAGACTCAAGGTGTCCAAGGATTAATATTTTCATGGACTAGAATATTAACAAAGATCTTTATTAGAGGTATATATTTTTGGGCATAATTACTAGTAAAAAGATTGACTGAATAAGATAAATATGTTAATAATTAATTTCATTAGCATGTAAAGTCAAAATACAATATGCAAAATATTGACATAAGTTTATGCATATACCGAAATTGGCTCCACAATTGGGTTTAATAAATTATATTATATCTATTTGAAAAATTAATGTTTATAAAGACTAGGATGGGAAATAACTTGAAAACATAACAAACAAAGGCATGATTGATCTACGAACAAATTAAATTGGGTTCTAATGAAATGTTTGATTGTTTAATTATCATGTTTTGGTTATATATAAAATAGACAAATTGTCCATGGTTTTTATGAAAATAATTGAAAATAAGTAAAGGAATTTACCATGAAAAATTAACTGTAAGTGGAGAATATATGCAAAAAATAAGATTTGACTACAATATTAGTTTATTTTTAAATCATGGCACCAAAATTGAGATAATAAGTTGAGTCAAGCTATTTATATGGTTCTATTTTTATTAGACATTTATAAATCAAAGGTTGATTTTTTTAATTTATTATTGATTTAAATTTTGACTAGTGTTCAATTTTTATGAAAACCAATTAAAATTAAATTAATGTATGTAAATAATTATATTAAGATATGGTGTTTCATTATTTTTAAATTGATGTATGTGAATAATTAAATGATAGATAATAAATTAAATAATTATTATTATCAGAATCATGGACAGTGTGACATGCATTTTGCCTATTTAGTGTATTACACTAGAAGTAATTTTACAAAAGAAAATTTTATTGTGAATAATTATAAAGAAAAAGTTTAAGGTACAACTCAATTTGTGTTTGATAGCCAAAACAAGTAAGACAAATAAACTCAAGAATTTGAAATATAAATGTTCTTGTTGTATAACTATGATTGATGAAATTGGCTTACAAAAGTAAGAGATTAAAGAGATGCTTGTTTAAAAGAAAAATATCAAACTATTATAACTATGAGGTTAATTTATAAAGATTTGGGATCTGAAATATTATTCCTGTTGATGATAGCATTTATAAATTGTTTGAATTTATAATGTAATAAGTTAATGCAAGTTTATTATATGCAATGAATATATAATTTCATGAAGAATTATGGTTGATGGTAATGTAAAATACATTAAGTATGTATATCTATGACATCCCTATATTTTATAAATTTTATGTTAGTATCACTAACTAAAATTTGGCCAACAATTTGAGCTAATTAGACAATTAATTAAAAGAAAAGGCATGTAATTAAAAAATATTAAAGCATTTGTCAGTTACTAATATTTTGAATGATGCTCATCAATGTCTAAATTAGCCATGCTTATAAATTATAAAGAACATGCAAATTCAATGTTCCAAAGACACATATTTATGCATGTGTTTAATTCCATTTTGTGATGGCATAGAGAACATTGGTATAATTTGCTATATATTATGAAAATGAAATGAATGTGATGAAATTTTCTTTCTTATATGTTAAGAAAGATATAGATTATGGAGATAAAATGCCATCATCTAATTAATACATTATTAGTTAAAAACAATGAAGACATTTTTTCTTGTACCTAGAAAATTGGCATTTTGTAGGCTATTAAAATGAAAAATGCACAAGTTTCCGAGATTTTCAATAGTTTCATAACAATAGCAATGATGTGGCTGGTTATACATCATATTGACATATAGACTTAGATAATAATATTGGTTTGTGAAAGCCGTAAATCTTAGAGTTAGCCAATCAATAATTTAATCAATGCAAATTCATCATGAGTTTTTACATAAAATATGAGTAGAACTCATATTATAATTTATGAAAATGATTCTTTGGATTCATGTTTCATGACTTACGTTGATTTGGTGATCTAAATATAAACATATTTATCACAAAATGATTGTGAAGAATTTGAAATTGGAGTTAAATATACGATGAACTTTTATTGTACATAAACATATTGGTCCTCAGAGTAAAGTTTGAATTTATTATATAACAAAAATGTTATGACCAATTAAAAGTGGTAAATAACGGAGATACATATAAGCTGCACAATGATAGAGCAATAAAGTTCTCATAAATTTTGAAATCAAGTTTAGAGGTTTTAATAGTCATAAACTTGGAATTAGCCATTAAGCAATTAATATATGCATTGAAAACTCATGATAACATTTGAGATAGTTAGTTTTCACTAAAAGCTATCACTAGAAATGAGATAATTCTAATAGCGAAATCTACATGATTTGTAGGTATGATATGGATTATTATGGTTGGCTTAGAATAGCTATAAGTCAAAATCGATGCCACAATATTGATCACATTATGGTAATTTTTTGTTATATATATGATTTAATTCTTGGGTTGTACAAATGATTTATCATCTATGGTTTTATTTAGTGAAAATTTCAAAGTATATATACTTTGAAAGCCATGAGTGATTTAAAGATCTAGTGAATATGAAAACTTTTATAATAGTAAAAAGAAAGCTATTTGATCCATTTGGGTGATGAAAATGGTTTTGTTCATGGTAATAAAAATTATTAATAGTGTCCATGATGAAATAGATTCATATAAATATTTATGAATTGACATAAAAAGTCTTAAAAGGAGACTATAAAAGAATGATTATATTTGAAATTTAATTATTGATGTAAACTCTTATATTGAGTTAAAATATAAAAGTTTTGAAACTTTCATAGAAATGTTAAGATATTTAATAGTTATCTTTCACTAAAGGTAGATTTGAAGGTCTCCTATTTGAAAAAAAAAAAAAAACCCACCAAATAGTGAAAAGATAAATGAAATGGTAATTTGATTAAGTACATATGATATCTTGACAATTGAATGAGACATTTTTAATAAAAGAATGCATACTTGCACATGGTGGGGGTGATAACAATAAAAAAAAAATTACCACCATATTGTTGTAAGATTTTAGTATAATTTTATGAACGAATCATACAAACTAATAAGTTTAGACATTGATTAAAATAAAATCATAAAAAAAATTTTAAAAATCTTAAAATGAAAAAAATGGTTTGGTTTATTCATTAAGTTTATCCAATTGTACTAGAAGTATAATTGTATTAGAAGTATAATTGTATTAAAAATGTATAAAAGTATGAAAATAGAATAGTTGAAATTAATAAGTATAGAGTTATGTTCGCAACCAAAACCAACTATTTTTTAAAATGATAAGAATGAGGCAACAATTTCTGAAGTATATTAGTCTGAAGTGATTATTTAGAGATTCAATCTCAAGTGAAAGTAATTACCATAAAAAAATTGAATTTCAATATATTTGATTAATAGTACTACATGTAAAATGGATTTAAACTCTTACTATTAGACTCCAATAATAAGAACCCAACTTTAAATTAGTAATCTCTAATTACAAAGTTTAATGTGTAAAAATAAGTTATTATTATGTGTCTGTTAAGTACTAGTAAAATCTATTTAAATTTTAGGAACTAGTGTGATCCATTATGTTGTGAGGATGAGTTTTTATACTTTTAATGGAGTTTTAAATGTCTAAAGCAAATGAGACATAATGAAAACTCTATTTATATAAACATAGAAATGGTACAATTTCAACGAGAAGAATTGAAGTCTCTCTCATAAATGTTTATAAATAAGATAAGCATATGGTCATAATAATGCTAAAAACAGTTATAAATCTCTGACAAAAAAAATAAATAAGTATTACGTGTATTATATTTTTAATTCTAACACTAGGAGTTGAGATTTGATTTGCAGATACCATCAACTTCGTTAGAATTGTAAGAAATATATATATACATTAATTAAAGTTTTAAATCGAGAGATATCTTTTTATATTCATAATATTTATTTGTGTAAAATATTAAAAATTAAGCACGACATTCTAAACTAGTGGGAGATTGTTGATTGTTTAGAATAAGGTGTTTAATTAGATAGAAAGATTTAATTATTGATGAGTAAATTTAATTTTTGTATTAATTTTATTTATATTTTAAATAATTATGTTTGAATAAAAATAATTACCATATAATAAATAGTCATAATTATTTGAATATAAATATATTATTATTCATAAAGACTATGATTATACAGAAGGTCATAATTATTTGAATAAAAATCTATACATGTTCATTCATTATAATAGATCTTTCAATATAATCAATTTAATTACTTTTACTCGAAAAATTTTAAGATTTTATTATATTTTAAAGGCATATATGCCTTTAAGAAAGTATTCATGTACCTCAAAATCAAAATTATTTATTATTATTATTTTTATTTATTTATTTTAACAATTTTCAATCGCATTGGTATATGCACATGCAAACAAACCGTGAATTCAAATTAATTAGTAATATATAGTCAAAGGCTCAAAGCAACATAAGATAAAAATTCAAGATTTAATTAATTGGTTCATGAAATTAATTTTAAAAATAAAATTTAATAATTTTAAAATTTAAATTTTAGGCTTACAATTTTCATTATTTTTAAATTGTAATAACTTTTATGAAAAAAAAAAAAAGTTAACATAAGAGAGAAATAATTAGAGCCATTAAAACCTTTCAAATCATCAATTTCTTCAAAATTCATGATCTAGGGAGCTCACATGGGCGGGGTAATTAAGTTCGGATCATTCCCCAAGCAATTTCCTGCTAACTTTCAGACTGTAATATATAAGGAATCAGTAGCTTCACTCAAGCTACGTAATTAGCAAGTTAACAACTATAAAGTCAAGCAAACAATCATTTATAAATCTAAAATTAAAAAAAAAAAAAGAATCTGAGGGTCTTCTTGTTATTTTATATCAAAAGACACGTGTCAAAACCCATATGGCCTTATGTAATAAAAATTCCTGCAGGTTGCATCCAACAAATCCATTATCATTGCATTAACTTGTAAGCAGCTTCTCTCAGTAGAGAAGAAAACCCAGCTCCAAAGAAGAGAAACAGATCACACTTGCAGAAAGATTAAAAAAAAAAAAACCCAGAAAAATGAGAGCCAGCAACCATTTGATAGGATTACTAAACTTCTTAACTTTTCTGTTGTCAATAGTAATCTTGGGTGGTGGAATATGGCTAAGCAGCAGAGCCAACAACACAGATTGTCTCAAGTTCTTACAGTGGCCATTGATAGTGATAGGAGCCTCAATCATGGTCGTTTCCTTGGCAGGTTTCGCAGGCGCGTGTTACAGGAACACGTTCTTGATGTGGCTTTACCTCTTTGTCATGTTCTTCATCATCACCGCGCTCATCGGGTTCATAATCTTCGCCTATGCCGTGACTGATAAAGGATCAGGGCAGCCAGTGATGAACAAAGGCTACTTGGAGTACTACTTGCAGGACTACTCCGGCTGGCTCAAAGACCGAGTGGTAGATGACAAGTATTGGGCTAAGATTAGCTCTTGCATCAGGGATTCCAAAGTTTGTAGCAAGATGGGAAGAAATTTTAATGGTGTTCCTGAAACTTATGGCATGTTCTCTGTGAGGAAGCTTAGCCCTATTGAGGTATGCAAATTTTCCATCATTTATATGAAATTACATATTGTTTTTTCACTCATTGTTATATATATATTTCTAATCTAATTGCATCAAAACAAGTTTTTTTTTTCTTTTTCCATGTAGGATTTAAAAGCTTTTACAATTTGGTAGTAACTGATATGATCTAAATTTCATTTTTTTGAAATTTAATTTTGAATAACTTATTGAAAAATGAAGTGCTTAATTAATGCAATTGATAACCCATTTAACAAAAAGGTGTTTTTTTTTTCTAAGGTTTATGATTAAAGGTTTAGCAAACTTAATGATTTTACGAGGACCCTGTTAGATAAAGTTTGGAATTTTATGTTGTCCAACTTATTTTTTCATGTTTACTTTGGCTTGAATAAAAATAGGATATAAATGAATAGAATAAAAATAAATTTAATTATATTCGTGATTTATTTATTTAATTAAAAATATTATTCAAAAATATTTTTTAAAATTAATAAATTAATATAAATAAATAAAAACTAAATATGTAATTTTTGTTATCAGAAAAAACTAAGGCATGTGAGAAAGGGCCAAGCAGTACATTTGACTGCCAGTGCCAGTCTGCCATCTCAATTCAGGCCCGGTCTATTGCGGTTCATTGGCTGACCAATGAAACTTTGCCAAATTTTAAGCTTTGTTTTAATGATACACCTTAAAAATTTTTTTTTGTTATTTGTAAATGGTGTAAAAATAAAAAATTAAATTTATAAATATTTATTTTTTATGAGTAATCAAATAATCAGATTATCAAATACTTAAATATTTCTCGGTTTCATAAATATCAGATCAGATCCTCAACCATTTTCGGACCATTCTCCACTGCTCTAACAAACAGTGGCTTCCCCCCCCATTTTTTGCGTAAAATGGAATGGACCACAATGGGATGGTGCTAAACCCAATAATTATGTCTCATCTCATCCTTCAAAAAAAAAAAAATCCCGAATCTTATTTTAATTTGTCAATTTCCTCTTTTTATCGTGATTATATAATTAATTACTTATTATATTTTGTTTGAAGGGGTCAAGCCCTATAACAAGAGGAGAGAGAAAAAAGTTGAGATCGAACTCTAACCCTATATCTTTATAAGATTTACTTATTTACTAAATAAAAATTAAAGATAATTAATTACTTATTATATTAAAAAATTATTATTGGATTAAATACATGTTTCTATATTCTAAAATTATTTTTTTTTATTTTATAAAAGAAGTAAAAAGAAAAAGATTATATATATTAAAATTTAAATGTAAATTTATTGAATGTTGTATAAATCCATTAAATTAAATTTGAAAATTTTTAAATTAAATTTTATATATTTTCTCAAGTAAAAAAATAATTATAAATTATAAAACTTCTTTTCTATTAGTATTTTTTATATAAAATTTAATCAATGTACTACAGGACTGGTATTTATATTTTTTTCCTATGAATAAAGTAGCAGTGGTTGAATGTTTTCTCTTTGAAACATAGGTGCCAAATAATTAAAAATAGAATGTGCTATTTGGAGTTGGCTCTGTTTTAGCTTTATATCCGTATCTTGATGGCCTTTCTGTTGGTTCTTCACATTTTTATTTCTCTCTGCTTCCTACATAAATGAGAGGCTGCAAAAAATAGAGAAAAAAAACAAAGGAAAGATGGAATTATTATATGATTTTATCTTAAAATGTTTTTGGAATCTTAATTTCTTTTTCTTTTCTTAGGTGCCAACCTGATTTCTAAATACATTTTAGTTGATGTATATGGAATGATGCCTACTATATTGTTCCTTAATTGTTCACATGCTTACAACCTTTTTTGGTGGATTTTTTTTATAGGGTGGGGTTTATGAAAGAAGAATAGCCTATTTGATTAATCCATTCATCAATTTTGGAATGAAAAATCATTCTAAAAAAAAAAGAAACTCTAGAAGTACTTATTGTGATATAATAAATATTTGATGTACTGATAGTATATAGAGAATATATAAATACTATATATTGTTAATCAATTAAACGATAATATTTCGTTAATGAGTAAAATAAAATGTAATAAGGTCTTTAAAAATATATATGAATGAAATTATTATGTAATTTATTGATATTTATTTTTAAAAACCTGAATTATTTTCATTTTATTTACTAACTAGATTATAACTTGTGTGATTCATAAAATAATTTTACTTATTTAATATGAATGTGTATATATATATGTATATATATACAAATTAATTTCTTTTCAAAATTATATTCAAATATTTAAAACTCATAGCATATATAAAATTTATATATATTGATTTGTCATTAAAAAATAAACTTTCTAAAAATAGCATGAAAAAATTACATCTTTCTTTTGGATTTTTTAAAAAATTATATTTATAAACTTATAAGATTATATCAAATAAAAATAAATTATATTTTTCTTAAAAAATAAAAACATGAATTATTGAATGATAAATAAAATAACAAAAGAAATGTTAACATACTTTCACTTTAGTAATCTTAACTAAATTATTATGAAAAATATGAAAAATGTTTGAAAATTGTGAAAAAAGAAAAAATAAATTGAAAAAAAAATTATATTTCATAAGAATAAAACTGTAATAATAATAAAATATATCTTGAAAAAAAGTTATAAAAAAAAAAAACAAATTGCAATAGTAATAGAATATACCTTGAAAAAAGTTACTAAAAAATTAAAAAAAATTGATGCAAAACACATTACATTTGTAATCTTAAATTTGTAGAAGAATTTTTTAGTAGCAATTAGGATTAAATAGATACTTTTAAATTAATTTTTTAAAATATAAAATGGATATATAAGTGACAAAATAATATTAAGTTGTTTACATTTATTTGAAATATAAATTTGATAATCATAGTTCAAATGGATATAATTATTTTGATGGTCTTATTATTTAAAAATTTAAGATAAAATTTTTTTGGATTTTCAAAATCTTATATAAAATTATTTGAATTTTTAATATCTTACGTAAATCTTTTAAAAATATAATTTTTTAAATCAAGATAAAAAAATTATTGAAAGATTTAGATAAACTTAATCATTGTAATTTCTAAACATGTTTGAAAGATTTTGATAATTAAATAATTTTTTAAATAAAATTATTTGATAAACAACTAAAATTATTTATTAAAAAATAAAATCCATATTTCATATTTTTAATTTTAAAAAATATATCTCTAAATTAATTTGATTTTTAATTATAATTTGAATAATTTTGATATTTGAATAAATTTAAAATTATCTAATTTATATTTAAAAGAAACTATCTTATTTTTTTAAAAAATTATCTTATATGTTATTTAAAAGAGTTATTTACATAAACATTCATGTGACAAATTTATTTATGTACGTTGTTATATATTAAATATATTAGATTAGATAAGGTGGCATCGTATATTATTGATAGAAGATTTGTACGCTGTCACACATCAAATATTAACTCATTCAATTTTTTTTATTATTGAAATAGTAAATCTAAAGAGTGGTTGAGTAGAGTAGAATGAAAGGATGGATGAGCCGCTGTGCCCATAAAATCTTCATAAATGCTTATTGAAGCCAAATGACCATGAATTAATCAGAAGAAGGAAACTTAATACTAAAACCTTTTATAGCTCGCAAGTCACTAGCATTTTGCGGGACATGTCTTTTAAGTAACTAATGACAGCAAAACTTCTGAATTGATCTCTATAGTCAGGTTGCTGCAAGCCCCCTACAGACTGTGGTTTCGTCTATGTCAACGAGACCCTATGGAACCTCGGAGGAGGGTTAGTTGGAACTGACCTCGACTGCTCTAAATGGAGCAATGACCAAGAGCAGCTGTGCTATAAATGTGATTCCTGCAAGGCTGGTGTGCTTGGCAGCCTCAAGAAGAGCTGGAGGAAGGTCTCAGTGATCAACATAGTTGTGCTTATCCTCCTGGTCATCTTTTATGTCATCGGCTGCGCTGCTTTCAGAAACAACGAGAGAATTGATAATAATGAACCTTATGGCGAGGCAAGGATGACAAAAGCACAACCAAGTAGGATCTATCTATAGAAAGTCACAGAAGTAAAAAAGACTTCAGACATGGGAGCTTTTACTCTATTGAAGATGTATGTTTTAGGTTTTTGTATGCCATTTTAGGGCTGGTTTTTGTGAAACAAATGAACTTGATGAATTTGGTTTGATCCACTCACTGTTACTGAATGATGTAAGAACAGAGGGTACTTTCAACTTTCGATTCGGTTAATTTTAATTGCAAGATATCACCACTAATCATCACTTCTTAATTAGAAATACGTCCTTTGATGAAAACAGTTAATGTAACAATATGGCCAGCGCCAGTGCAGATGCAAGTAGGTGAAGTAGGAGCTTGAAGTCAAGCATATGCACCACTGACATGTTTACATTGCAGGACTTCTTTGGTGGTGAGTTCGAGGAAGGGAGGGAGAGTAAAAATTTGCTATATGCCACTTCCTCTGCATGAATTGATACTTATTTCTGGTAAGCAATTTATATATTTTTTTCCACCTTTTGATGTTCTTGAACGTGTTTTAATAATTTCATTAGCCTTGCCAAAGAATTTTTATTGATTTATTCTTTCCTCACTTTCTTGTTCTCTTATATAATCATTTCGTCTCTCGTGTGAGCTGACGTGACAATTACGGAATGTAATGTAGGTAATGTGTAAGCACTAAGAAATATAACAAACGATCAAATATCTTTGTAATGTGATATGTTGCAATTATCAGGGGCTTGTACCATGTGCAGTATGTTTTCATGAACACCAGATTGGAGTTCTTGTAGAGAAAATTGATGAGATAAAATAAGCTTAAATAATATTCAAACCAAATATATCATGCAGCGAAAAAATTAAATTAATTTTTTTTGTGTGAATTTAGCAGGAATTAAATAAATAGAGTTAGCAAATAAATTTTTAAACTACAAACACAAGGACACAAGTAATTTACATGAAAAACCTCCCCAAAATGAGGAGTAAAAACCATAAACTATAACAAATAATCTTTATTATCAAAATAATGAGAATACAAACTTCTCTCTAATTACAACTAAAGGTATACAATCACAATATCTCAAGATTAAACAATCTTGGTAAAAAAAAAAATCTTGCAAGAAAAAATTGAAGAAGCTTAAGCAAATTTAAGAATTAACAAATACTCACAAAATCAGGAGATAAAAAACTTGAAACCTGATCTCCACCTTTGAGACTGAAAAATAATGAATCATGAATATACTGATAAAATTTCAGCTCAATCAGACAACAGATTAACCTTAACCAAACTACTTGATTGGAACTACACAAAACTCCTTTTTTCTTCCTTTTTTTTTTCTATCACCACCACACCTCTCTTGTTTCTTTTTCAGCCAAATAAGAGCTTAAAATCCTATAACCAAGTATGAAAGCACTAGAAAATCCTTGGTGAATGGGCTTTGGTTTAGGTTACCTCCGCATGGAAAAAACCAAACCTAACAAATCTTTCCCTTTTCGACTATGTGAAGGGAATTGTCATTTTGGCAATCGAATGACAAACTTTCCAGCTTTTCCCTTGGTAGTTTTACCAGCTTTAAAGTATTATTCTCATGCAAAAGCTTCATCTTATCTTGCATGGCATCAATCCACTATTTTTATGTTCATCTTACATAGCCTCTGCATAGCATTTACGTTCTTTCTTATCTATTAGTAGTACATGCTCATTTACAAAATATCTTGTGAAAAGCTGTCAATCTTGAGTACACCTCCTAAGTGGAACTTCTGGTAAAATCTTTGGTTGAACCTCTGATACTAGTGATTGTTCATGGGTATCATCATCCCCTTAACCTGTATAGGATTGGTACCAATATCACTTGTATTATATTGGTTATCTTCAACATCTTCAACCTCTATAAGCACGTGTTAGAGGAATTGGATCCAAATCAATCAAACCATCACTATATCGGATAACCGATGTACCAATCTTCTGAATATCTTGTATGGTCTGGTTTGGTCTTTAACAAAAACAACATTCTTATTTTTCACAAGTTTCTTCTGCACGGAATCATAAAACTTGTAGCCAAACTCATCCTAGCCATAACCAAGGAACGCACACTATCTAGTCTTAGCATCAAATTGGATCTCTCATTTTTTAGAATATGTATAAAAGCCTTACATCCAAAGTTGCGCAAGTGATTATAGGACACATCTTTACCTGACTAAACTCTATTTGGAACATCAAAATCTAAAGGAACACATGGTGAGAGATTCAAAACACGTACAATTGTAAGCAAAGCCTCATTGTAAAAAGTTTTGATAATTGTGCTGGTGAAAGCAAATGTCTCACTCTTTTCATTAATGTCTTGTTTATCCTTTCAGCTAACTTATTCAATTAAGGAGTTTTAGGAGGTGACTTTTGATGTTTAATATCCTGCTATTTGTAATACTCATCAAAATGTTCAGTGTACTCAACCTCCATTATTAGTCCTTATGCATTTCAATTTCAACCTTGTTTATCTTTCAACTAAAGCATGAAATTATCTCAACATATATAATACTTGGTCTTTTGATTTCAAGGTATAAGCCTATATCTTCCTTGAATAATCATTTATAAAAGTCATAAAATAGATGGAATCATTAAGTGTTTTTGTTCTTATAAGACCACGAATATCAAAATATACTAAATCAAATATACCTATCTTTCTTTATGGAGAGGATGTCTTGAATGCAACTCTGATTTGTTTTCCTTCCAAGCAATGAACACACTTCTTCGAGTATATATTTTTCATTCAAGAAAGAAGATTTTTCTTAACCAAAACCTTCAAACCCTTCTTGCTCTTGTGACTAAGTCACTTATGCCAAAACTTAGTTGTATCATCATTATCTACTGCATTGATAATGGAATTAGATACCTTAGCCTACATTAAATACAATGATGAGTGTTTTGAACCCCTAGCTACAACCTAGAACCTTTAGTGAGCTTCTACTGACCATCATAAAATGTGTTGCAAAACCTTTTATCATCAAGCTTTCTTGTAGAAATCAAATTCATGCGAATATCAAGAATATATTTAACATTTTTCAAGACCAACATAATGCCATTATTGGTATCTAAGGACACATTTCCTATACCAATGGCTTTAGTTAAGCCATCATTATTTATTTTAACACTCTTAAAATTACTAGGTATATAAAATGCAAAGTAGTCTTTTCGAGCTGTAACATGAATTATGACACCGATATTAATTACCTAACTAGTCTTATGGCGTGTAAGATTAACAAAATCATTATCATATAAAATAAGGAAGTCATCTGTGACAATAGCAACTTTATCGGGATCATTACCATCACCATTCTTCTTTTTCTTATCCTTGTCACTATTGTTGTCCTTTTTCAACTTCTGGTAATATTTTCTTCTATGCCTTTTCAGACCACATTATCAAATCTATTGGGTTTACTATTGCTTTTATCTCTGTTCTATGGACCTTTGCTTTTACTTATCCCCCTATTTTCTGTGACTAAAACCTCAGACTGTGAAGAGAAACCCTATGACTTTCTTCTCATCTCTTCATTCAAATCATCACTTTTAAGTAAATTTGTAGTAATAATATCATTTGGGCTAAGTTAGATAACTCTGTTCTAAATGTTTTCCATGAGTTTGACGATGTACCAAGAAACCATAAGCCCTATATCTCATCTTCAAATTTGAAATTCATATCAGCAACTGATTAATAATATTATGATATGCATTCAAGTTATTTGTTATAGGAGTTTCATCCTGATATTTCAAACCCATTAATTGTTTAATTAAAAATAGTTTATTATTCTTAGTTTTCAAGCATACATCTCCTCAAGCTTACTCCAAAAAGTGTGTCCATGTGTCTCTCCATTAACATGGTTCAAAACATTATCATTTACCCACTGTCTAATATAACTACATACTTGTCGATAAAACAAATTTTATTATACAGTTGTTTTATTTTTAGGTTTTTTAGTGACAAACATAGGCAAATAATAATCCTTCATATAAAGCAAGTCTTTCATCTTCCATTTTCACTCATGGTAATTTGAACCATTCAAATTAATTATTTTACTTGTATTGGCTTCCATTATTCAACATAAGGCACAAATCAAACAGCCTGAGCTCTAATACCACTTTGATGGGATAAACTAACCTTAAACAATATTTAAATCGAATATATTATATAGCAAAAAAATTAAATTATCCATCTCTTATGTGAATCTAGCAAGAATCAAACAAATAGAGTCAACAAATAAATCTTCAAACCACAAGCAAGGATACAAGCAATTTATGTGGAAAACCTTACCAAAACGAGGAGTAAAAATCATGGACAACAAAATATAATCTTCATTATCAAAATCATGGAAATGCAAAATTCTCTCTAACTAAAACTAGAGTTATACAATCATAATATCTTAAGATTAAACAATCTTAGTAAAAAAATAATCTTGTAAGAAAAAATTAGAGAAGTCTTAATAAATTTAAGGATTAACAAATACCCACAAAATTAATAAGCAGAAAACTCAAAACTTGATCTTCATCGTTAAGACTGAAGAACAATGATTAATAAATACATTGATAAAATTTTAACTCAATCGGATAACGAATTAACTTCAATTAAACTATTTGACCAAAACTACACAAAACCTCTTTTTCTCCTTTTTTTTTTTTTTTTTTCTATTACCACCTCTCTTATTTCTTTTTCAAGTTTTAAAAACCTATAACCGAGCGTGAAAGGACTGAAATATCCGTGATGAATGGGCTTTGATTTAAGCCACCTCCACGTGGGGGCAACCAAGTCCAACAAAAATAGCTTCTGATTTCATGTTTTATTGATCTGTTTCCTTTTTCCTCGATGCTCAGCCATTTATTTTTGAGGCTTTATGAACTCGCAGTAGCAAACTGATAGGATATATATATATATATATATATATATATACATATATATATATATATATATAAATTAGCAATTCCTGTAAGAACATACTACTTTTATAGAGCTTGAATGTTTTCAAAGACCTTGTACATATGCTAAGATTTTTACAAAAGAAATATGTGCATAACTATATATTTCCTATAGGAATCACTCTTTTGCTATAAATGACGAATGTGACTTGCTTTTACCCCTGCACCTTTGACAAGAGTGCAATTCTATGAAGAATAAATGAGTCCACACTTCAGGCCCAAAAAGTTGAAATATAGTAGCATGCATCCATGTCTCTTTGTTGAAATTTCATCATTCTACGATATTATTTTCCAGTTTTATTTCCCCTTTAGTAAATGCACAAATTGTCTTGGTTCATTTCATTTCCATGGCAATTAATGTATCATAAATTAGAAACCGATGCATTACATGGGTTTATTGCAATTTGCAGTGAATGATTTTTATTCTTTCCTCTACGTCTGCTTGAATGCTA